CTTAAATAGTTCAGTCCCTATGGCTTGTTATATTTACTTCTAAGTTCATCTTTTCTGGACATTAAGCTCTGTTAAGGACATCTTTTCTCATTGTTTCCAGCAAATTTTCTTAGGTTTTCTCTACTTCCTCGGACCATGAATCCTAATTTAACTCACCTTGTCACATCAATGCATCTAATAGATTCCCTTTGACAAGTCCATACCACCTTCTAATATTTCCTTCATTTTTTTCTCACATGAGACTACCCTGATTGTTCAAAAATCCATATACTATTTATCATACTACTAAATCAACATATACATCTTAAAACCTTGAGTTTTATCAGCTTATTGTATATATTGTTTCATACAGGCTATATATTAGTATCTATCTATACAGCACAACTGGTCTTGAATATGTACTATGAACTTTTTTTTCCTAACCTAAGGGCACATATGGCAAACACAACACTCCAACGCCCTTCTCCACTTTAACCATCACTTTCAGCTCTATAAATCATCTGTGTTGAAATTTTGATCCAACATCTCTGAAACTCACTTGCAAAACATCTTCCATCTATTTCAACAATACAGCCAAGCAAAAGGATAGGTGTTCTTCAGTAACATAAAATTAGGCATACTGATTCTATTTGCAAGAGGTTTCCAATATAAAGAATAGTACTCAAGATGGATATGATCTCCATTCTAAACAATAAAAAAAAATAACTACCAGAATTAAGGATCACAGGTCCTATTAACTACCAAAAAAAATAACTATTAACTGTTGAGAGTTCTGATGAGTGCCACAAGACTTATACAAGGTTCCTGCTACAAAGATATATAAACATATATTGATAAAAGCGTACAACATATGTATATATGTGAACATAGAAAGTCATATTCATCAAGGAAAAAAAGGATACAGAGGATATAATGTCTCTTTCCTCCGTGTCTTTGATGGTCTAAATAAAAAGCTTCCATAATAAAATGACAAAAAAAAAGGTCAGGCTCGAGCTATTCTCTAAACAATAAATTTCTGTAAAACAATAACAGGCACTGAATTCCTGGTACAATAACTACTTGCAAGAAAGAAGTAAAATAGATGTCCAAACACAAGAATGGGAATAGATTAAGAAGAGAATCAAAGCTATTCTACCCAAGATAGAAAAATTCAAATACTACTTGCTTGAGGTTTCAGAATATAAGCCATTAAGTGAAAGTAAAAGAAGTTCCAAGATTTACTTGGAGGAGTTTTCATCGGCCAAAAAAAGAACCATTAATCCTATGAAGAAAAGAACACAACAAAAGACAGCTATACCATAATTTTCAAGATCGAAGAACTCACTGATGTCAACAAAGATAAAATTGAAATTCTATAAAATACATAATGCAGAATCCCGTCTTGGTATGAGAATCGAATAGCATAAACTTTGTTTACATGTTTCATCATAACATCATATAACTAGTCTATAAATAAACTTGATCAAACAGACTACTTGAAGATAAAATATGCTTAACTTCTAAAGTGTTGGATTCGTGTTCTATTATGTGGGTCCCAATGTAAATCAAATATAAAGTTTAAGTGGCATCAATTAACAGACCACAGAACACTTAGATAATTTCTAGTGTCAAAGAATTACTAACACTATTCAAGCATAAAACAACTGGGACATGATGAAGCATAAATGGAACAGAATGTGGCCTGCTCCATTAATTGATATCAGGGGACAACCCCAAAGGAGAGAAGAAAAAAGAGGAAGCAAAAAAAGTTCAACAAACAAATCAAAACATCTATCAACTGTAAAAATTGATTAGTATCAACCTACATTATTGTTTGTTCACCAACAGCTCCATATAGGAAATGTGAAAACTCAATTAATTAAAGCTAACATCTTTCACATTTGCAACTACCTTGAATTTCTGGTTAGATCTACTATAGACCACAAATGTCATACATCACGAAGTTCACAATCATAAATAGCTTAGTAGCTGCAATATCCATGACATTAACAACTCATTGAAGATGAATACCTCACGAACTTGATCTCTAAGACTCAACTTCTTACAGGTAAATCCTACTTTATCTGTAGGCAAGGCTTTATAGATTGTTCAGCTATGCTTGGCATAAGACCTCCTATTATTGACCATAGATGACTAGTTTGTTTAGATTTAAAATAAAGACCAAAAGGGCCTCTAAGAACATAAATAACAACATTATACGTATGTATATCAAAATAAGATCAGCTCAAAGAACAGTCTATCAAGTATATACAAATTCCAAGCCTAACAACCACTTGGAACAAATTTTGATCACATGATGATCTATATATCTAAAAAAAATGTCCAGAAGCAGATTCCAACAATTTGATAATGTCAAGTTTCATTTTTGTTGCAAAATGGCTTTGTGGTTTCTTTGTCAAAATTCTAAGCAGTTGAAAAAGTAATCATGCATCACAGCATATGCTGACAGCTATATTCGCAGAACCACCAATTTTGGCTTGTCTTTTGAAAAGAGAACAGTCGATTCAGTAGGACAGATATTATCTAGACCCTTTTTATATACAAGTTCCCACAATATATAAATTTTAGTGGTTCATAACCTCCCAAAAACATCTCATTCTTATCTGAACGAATGTTCATTAAGATCTCAACATGTCACTGCAACCACAAAAGCTACACACTCAGCACAATACCTTTAAACTATTGCCATAAATACAACAATGTCCAACCTGACAATAGTAGCCAGCACCACCATCAAGGATTGTTGTACTGCCCGAAATGGTACAAAATTGGGCAATACATACTGATCCGAGCATGAACCGGTATGCAGACCAATGTTTCGGGCAGCCCGGTCCAACTCAAAAAATAAAAAGAATTAAAATAACAATGGGGTCCATCCAACTCAGTATTAAAAAAAAGAAAAAAAAACCCCTAAAAATAGAAACTAGGGCTCGTGTCGCGTTCAACACTGCTGCTGCCACCACTTTGCAACGCCACTGCCATTGCCACTACTTCACGATGCCACTACCAATGCCGACACTGCCGCATTCCTTTTTCTTCCTAGGTATACTCCCACCTCTTCTCTTCTTCCTTCTCCTCCACCACCACTTCTTCCTCTTCCTCCATCAACCCGTCCTCTTCTTTTTTTTTTTTTCTTCCTCTCCGAAACATCGATGCATACCAGTGTACCAACACACAGTACACCGATATTGACTGGTATACCGATCTAACCAGATCACTGAAACAGGCTCAGTACCCGAAACAATGACCCTTGACCACTACCATTGTCACCAATTTATAACTTGAGTTGCTTACAGTATTTTCATTCAGGATTTTTCCTGATTTTCTATTGAGACCGGTAGTGAAAATTGAGAATTAGTTTGTCTCTTATATTTTAAGCATTAAATAGCCCAAAGACACCTAAACTTATCATGATTATCAGTGTATTAAATTCAAAAGTCTCCTATAACTTTTAGTCTAAACATGCAAATAAAAAAGCAACCATTCTAATAAAAAAAGTAAATCACATACTAATCAACTTTCTAGGAAACCGCAAAATGTTGACAATCAAAATAAACTAAAATATCAGCCTAAATAAAATAGTTGTTATGAACATGACATATTGAAAATCAAGAGAAGTTCTGCAAAAGTGAAACTGAAACACAAAAAAAAAACAATTCAGAATATTTATGCAGTAACCTATGGCCATTAGTAATATTAATCTCCACTGTCACCAAGAACCCTGAAACCTCCCACCTTTTCCTTTTGCTGGCATCAGCTAAAAGATCAGCAGAGACATTAAGCAAATCAATTTGACCAACTCCCCTTATAAATTAAGCCCTTAACATACGTCATGATGGCCAAAATGTGCTAATCTTATTATATACAAAATTAAGCCCTTAAATGTATGCCATGAGAGCAATCATGATTTCATGAACAGCCATCAAGCCCAACAAAAGTCAAAAAGATCTGCAACATTCAATAATTATGTCCATCAAATAAACCAAATCAATGGGTGAATACCAGGTAAAAATACCAAAATCACCACAAGGTCTGCATCCTAGTGGCCCCTGATTAAGAAAATTTCCATCATACAACATTCTTATTTTTCTGAGACTCACTGCCACAAGGTCTGCATCCTAGTGGCCCCTGATTAAGAAAATTTCCATCATACAACATTCTTATTTTTCTGAGACTCACTGCCACAAGGTAGGTAGATTATCAGAAAAGCCAATTACAAACTAGTATGAATATCTTCCAATTTAACCAAAAACATCCATCAAGTCACTTCATGGAAGGCACAAGTCAGATTCTCATCAGCAAAATGTTTCACTGCCTCAAAAGTTAACAGGATCCTTACAACACTGAGTAGAAATTCAGCCACTTCCATGCAAAATAAACAACATTGGTGATGACCTTAGGATCCCTGATAGATCTATCATGTTCATTAATTTGGCCAATCAAAAAGACAAGATCAACAATTTATCCCTCCATTTCATATTCATTGAAGAAAAGTGGTGTTGGATCTGAAAGCTTAAACTCAGGTTCGTAGCAAGTTATTTTATAAACCAAACATGCTTATCCACATCAGCTTCATACTCAATTGAAGCAAATATCAAAACCACGCCTTCTTGTAAAAATCAAAAAGATATCTGAAAATGATGTTTATCCCAAAAAATCTCTTCAGGATTCAACATAACAGATCAAAATATGAATCACCAATCGGACAAACTTATATCTGTGAAATCATAGATCCCATCTCGATGTTGACTTCAACACAACTACTTATTAGACCATTCAATTGCAAACATGATACTCTCTGATCGAATTCATCAGAAGGCTATCCATTATGATCTTAGCATAAGAACCAAACATCTACTTAATAGTTTCCCAAGGTAACAAACAAAGCCAAGACAACAATAAAATTTCTAGCCAACAACCAAAATAGACAGTTTATGAAGTTAATAAGCAGCAACTAAACTAAGATTGCCATCTTAGAAACAGTGCCTTTCCATGATCAAACCAGCATCTTCAAATTACTGCAGAAAAAAAAAGTGATATTATAAGATATTATGGTAAGAAAGATGGTACAAAATTTAAGAACCTAGAGAACTGCATAGGTCATACACAAGATTACCATCTAGTAGTAATAGCCGCCCCCAGAGTGTGGACCTCCGTACGATGAATAAGTGCCACCACCATACTGCATAAAGAGAAGCAGGTGATCTGCTGAACAGATTGTCCTAAATTAAACTCATGAGACTTGTACTTACATCCGAGCCATAATAATCACGTGAATACAAGCCACTCATTCCAAATGAATCTAGAAAGTGAAAGCAAATGATCATTTCATTAGAAGAGAGCATAATTTCAAATTGTTAGAAACAAAATATACCACTGAAAGAACCTCTATAACGAGATGCACCGGGCAGTGGATCAGGATGATCATATCGAGGGCGAACCCTACTCCCAGGTTCCATGTATCCAGAATCATGATCCTGAAATTGAAGCATGTAGAACCACCATTGTACAGACAATCGCACTGACAGACATAACAAAAAATAAATACAAAAATTTACCATCATAGAGAATGGTCGTTTGATACCACGTCCTGCATCCCCATAGAAATAAGGTTCTTCACCTACATACCGACCACTGAAAGGTCTACCAAACTCCTCCTCCGGTTGAAACGGTGGTCTTCTAGATGAGAAGGGTTGCCCTCGCCCTCTGAAAGCACCTTGTCTTCCTGGAAAAAAAAAACCCCTACCTCCTGCAGAGAGCAAATAAACATTGGTCATTCTAAAGAAAAAATAAAACAGCAAATTTTGCCTTTATTCTCCTTATTGAGAAAGGTTTCACCTACGCCAACAAACCAGCTTGTATTAGACTATGAGTACCTAGAACTTAGTCACTAGAATAAAGAATTTTAATAAAAGAAACATCACTAACTGATCCCAGATACTAGCAAATGTAGGTAATTCTCCATCACCATTAATATAGGTTATCTCCAATAAGTTGATAAAGAAGAATTTCTTCTTATAAATATTGCAGTTCATGTTTCCAAACAGAAGGGTCGATCTTGAACTATTTCATGCAGACCGCAGCCTGCACCATGACAGTCACCTTATGAAATTTATATTATTAATTTGGCTTAATTAATCTACAGCATATCAGCTTTTAGAGATCATGTGACAGATGTACAGTCTACCTCGACCTCCAAAGGGCCTCCTGAACTGAAACTCAGTAGAAGAGCCTTCCAGGCCACTATCAGCAGCAAAAGAAAACCTTCCACCTCTACCACGTCCACGAAAATTGAAACCCCTTCCACCCTGAAACCCTGCTCTGAATGAAGGAAATCTACCCCTACCAAAACCTCTACCTGTTGAAGCAAAAAAAATCATCAATATTTAGAAAGCACCAGATGAAAGTTTTTTTTTTTAGCAATGACTTACCAAACCTAGAGTAAACTCCAACACCAGTGTATCCAATACGGTAACCACCGCTCATCCCACCTTTTACAGCTTGAGTTTTGGGCAGTGGATTTGCAAGCCTTGCTCTTACTTTCATCTATAATAAACAAAAGAGGTAAGTTGCAAATATATACAGATATACTGGTACAAAGAAGAATATGAACCATGATCTACTTGGATGATATATGCTTAATCCTTTATTCTTCATAATACCATCAACAAACAAAGAACTAGGCACATGAAGATACCCCATATTTTATAAGAGCACATACAAAGGTGCTATTTTTTTTAATATATGACTACGCCTGCCAAACTGATCAATAGATTTTCAGAAAAGAGTGACAGAACCAGAAGTTATGGTGTCACGAGCTAGATGGATCACTCCAGGCTTACTTGGAAGCTTTCTATAAGGCAGAGGAATAAACCTTAAAGCATCATTTGCAACATTAAGTAGGCTTGTCTCGTAATTATCATATGATAGATAGCAGTGTTATGAACTCGACACAAGGAAGACCAAGGGCACAAACACAGATACAAGTATTTGGCAGCATAATCAAATATCTATAAGGCTTAAGCACTAGATTCTGTATCTTCATATTACTAGTCTTAAAATAACATACCCAAACAACATAAAATCTTGAGAGTTGGACATGGATATAAACAAAGACAACTCTCCTGATACATAAATTGTAAAACAAACAACACATTGGACACAAAAATAAGACACTTGCCATGGGGTAAAAAATTTGAACTCAAAGGTACGTGGTGATCTTAGGAGCATGAATGTGCATTAACAAATGTGTCCCTTCAACCAGAGTTTAGAGCATGGTTCACCTTACCGGTCCGTACCCGTATACCGACCAGCTATCGGTATGATACGTACCGAGCTATATTGAGCCATATTGAGTGTACCGACAAATGATACATGAGGGCATATCAATGTACCGCCCATACCGGTCCCCTATCAGACCGTTACATACCACTCATACCGAGCGGTATACCACAGCACAGTGAACCTTAGTTTGGAGTATTCAGTTCGTGTTTCACATGCAACCACATTCACAATACATAAACTCCAAATAAAAGATTAAGAACATAAATGTTCATGATAAACAAATAGGTCGGTGGTTGTAGGTTAGTTGCAATTAAAAGAATGCAAAGATAATTCTTTGTAGTAAGTATAGTTTGCAAGAATTAAGTCAGAACAAAGATCAGCCACAAGCTGCTTGAATGGAATCAGTCAAATCATCAATTTGTATTGACACAATTAAATCAAAGAGAAAGAAAATAAAAACTAAAAAATATTAAAACAAAAAATTGAAAACAAATATTTTAAAATGAAATATATTTTGCATTTCACCAAAAGTTATAAACAAAATTAACAGTTAAAAGTATTTTTCACATTAATGATAATTTCTTTTATCATTCAACTATGAATTTATCTACAGTAATATGAAAAGTTTAAAACGGATTTTAATCATCTTAAAGTAATCATCATAAAAATATTTTTACCATTTTTGGCAAATTATAACTCATCCTAAATTACTTTGTGATAAAATATCCTTAAAGCATTAACATTAATATATAAAACATTCTAAAATGATAACGTTTCATGCCTCACAATTTCTTCCCAACAAATTTTCATCCTATTTGGTGCTTTCATAAACAAATATAATGTGGGTCCTCTTCATTTTTAGAGAGCCATGCAGGCATGTGAGTTCTGGAAGAATCTCTTGGTACACATTTCTAGATAAGGGCTTATGACTTGAGCCTCTCGCGAGGAGTTGGATCTCAAGAGCCATCCTACATGACAATGAATAAGTGTTTTCGATGTCAGAATCAGATATACTAATATGTTCGGGTAAGTCAAACTCCGCCTTCACCTTCCCCTCCAGTGTTCCTTATAATCTAATCTTCTTCCTATGTTCCTGTTTTATTTTCACTTCTTCCTTTCTCCATTGCAGATTCATCTGTCAGCTGCCAAATTCCAGCTGAAATCAACCAGAAGGCTCAGAAATCAGCCAATCCATGGAAGTAACAAAATGTCAAAGACATACATAACATTGCAGCATAAGTGATCCATCAGAACTTTGGCTCATAAGGTAAATCCAAAAAGAAACAAAAGAAGTGCCTGCAGATACAAACATGGAACAAAAGGTACCTTGGACTTCCCATCACCCAGTTCGGTGTCATTTATACCTTCAACACAAGTAACAGCTGCTTCATGAGTTGTAAAGTTAACAAATCCAAAATCCTTCCTTTTGGCAGTTGACATGTTTCGTGCCAGCACAACACGCTCAATCTCTCCATAGCCTTTAAATTGTTCTTTGACCCTATCCTCATCCCAAAATGGTGGCAACCCATCAACAAAGACTGATTTAACCTGTATCAGCCAATATCAAAGGGATCACCATTTGGAAAGGAGCAAGTGAGCTCTGAGCAAGAGCACACAACAGGCGCAGAAGGATGCATCTGCAAGAGTACCTGAGCCATGACTTCGGGATCTGGCTCACGCAGTGGCTCTGCAAAAGCCACTTTGGCTGTCCTCTCGGGGTGGCCAAATATAACATCAGGCTTTTGGAGCCGTTTATAAGCTAGCATCGCATCCTGATGGCAAGAGAATTCCAGGAAAGCAAACCCACGACTTAGACCGTCATTCTGGGTGTCCAGAACAAGAGTAATATGTTCAACTCCCTCTACGTCATAATCCTTTAGCTTCTGCTTAATCTGTCACACAAAGATCAATTAAGCAAAAGAAAAAGAGAAAAAAAAGTTACTACTTCCAAGCCCCATCAATCACTCTGCTTAAATTATCATAATCATAGTAAGTGAAGAAGGCACACAGCTTCTTTTGTCCATGTGTTGCAAATGTTCCCCAAGAATAATGTGTCATTGTCCTCGCTTGGTGCAATGCCACAACGTTTTCCACGAATCTGTAACAAAAATTAATCAAAAGAATAACTAGTGAAGATGTAAAAGATACTTCTTATGAAAGTATCTTTTATATGAACTATATATGAAAGTCTCGAGTGAACGAAAGCCATGTTCTAAATTATCTTGTTCCAAAGCTCAAATGCATAAGCAAAAGACAAGGGTGGTTCAAGAATCATATATATATATATATATATATATATATATATATATATATATATATACACACAC